GAGGAATTTCACTCCACAAACAAAGCAGATAAAATCAAGCAAAGTACAGCAAGATAAAAAAAGTCCTGCACATAATACATACATATGCTATAAGTGGTGTGGAAAAATGCCAGGAAGAAAAATACTGAGCAAGTATAAATTATTGTTTACACAATCGCATGGGAAGCCAATAACACGGGCCTTACAAGGGGGCCTTTTCTTTCCTGATAACAGAGCAACATTAAGAGTACGGCATAAACGCTGAGATTCTTCGGAGTCAATGCTCATCATTAAATAGCCCTCAATATCCACAAAATGCATTAAATAAAACCATGCCTCTATTTCCAATACTTCCTTATAACGAGACTAACATTACGGGTTTAAGCTCCAAGATGATAATTTCGGATTCTTTTAAAATCTAAAAAATCGTGTTAGTGTTTTCACATTATTGGATGTCCCCCGCCGGTCACCAACAACGTTTTACCAATCAGAAAGTCTGAGACTCCAGGTAGTGCCAGACACTCCACGACAGGTCGGCGAGCGTACATCCACACCTGGAGAGCGCCCCGCAGTAAAACTAAAGACCGGTCTCGCTGTGTTGGTTTTAAGATATTTATATTTTTGACCGAACCTCATGTCTATTCAGCTATGATGGCCCTAGTCGTGAAGCCCTAAGCAGATGATTATTCTGAGCATATCAGGCAAACGCTGAGTCAGGCGGCAAGAAGGAGAGGTTGACAGTACTCTACTTTTGTACCCGAATTTTTACACAATGCCTCCTTATCAACATCAAAAAATGTAATCATTGGACAAAAAGAGATGCACCACAATCTCCTCTGCACCAAGGAACTTTAGCAATGTTCAAAAATTGCATAAACATAAAAAAACTAAGAAACAAGGCATCTAATGTAACCGAATGGGATTTTTAATCAATGACAGGTCCGCAGTCGAAAATACCAAAAAAAAATACATCAAATTGCAAAATAGATGAATTTTTAATATACATACCCCTTTTATTCTTCCAAACCTGACAGTCTTAAAAACAATTTCACAAAAGGAAGGTAGGATTGACGCGACTGGTAATGAGCAGATTTTTGCGACAGAATGGCAGAGATTATTCCACCTGGAGCAGAATTAGACTATGGTGCAAACAAAATTCAGTCACTCCAAACAATGAGAAGATCCAGCATCCCTCTCACCTGTGGACACACTAGACCAACGGGTGACATGTGGCCTCTACAATCACATTATTACCCTCCGAACTCTACGGCCCTGTCTCTACTAATGTACGTACCATATAGAAACGATAGTAAGCCTGATTTAGAGGGAGTGTTCCAAAAAAAGATGTGTTGAAGGTAGTTCCCACCCACCGCTGACCCGTAAATAGAAGTGTGAAAGGAGTAGTGATTAATCGCCACGCAAGCGAACCGAGCAACCCAAAAACACAGAAGGCCACACAATAGCAGGCAGGTCACGCCTTGACAAACAGGCCAGCCACGCAGCAAACCAGCGAGAAAATGACTCAATTACAACCCCGCACATGGTGGAATGAAGACATAGGAGAGCTCCATGACCCGGGGGGGGGGGGGGAGGGGGGGGGAGTGGGGGGGGGGGCGTGTGGCGAGGGGGGGGGTGGGGCAGGGGGCGAGGGGAGGGGGGGGGGGGGGGGGGTGGGGGGGGGGGGGGAACCCAGACCAAGTTAACTCGTTAACTGGTCTAGTTGAGAACAAGAAACAAATTAACAGACCTCAACACTACAGTTACTTACATTACATTTCACTTTTTTGTTCATTTTGGTTAATACTGCCGAATGTCTCTATCTTCATTCAAATAATGGCCCCATTTCATGCCTCCTGATCTCTTCTTCCCCTTATAATACCGACAAGGACAGAAAAAAAACCACATAACCCCACTATTAATCACCTCCCAAGGATTTTAGGAGAGAGCACGACGCGAGTGAGAGGAGAGGAAGATCTTCCAGTTTCACGACAGCTTACAATAAAAATAATTCATTTGCATAAAACAATACTGCAACCAAATGTATATTTGAAAAATAAAAAATTGAATCTAGGGGGAGAGAACTGAAGATCACGATGTGGTAGAAAAAAACAATTGTGTGTATTGTCTTTTAGACCTTCATGAATTGCTTCTCTTACCACCAGCCGAAGACCAAAACCATGGAACACAGCATCTGCCTTTTTCTCATACTAAATCATTGACACTCGTTTATCCTACAGTATCTAATAAAAAGGTGGAAATGACAAAAACAAAAACAAAAACATAATGTGTATACCCTCAAAAGCGTGGATAACCTAGACTAATCAAACCAACAATAATGGAATCCGTCAATTTCCATTATTTAAAACAGAAAAGTGGAAAAAAAAGAGGAGGCCCAAACTGCTCGAACAACGTCAGCGAAATAATCAGTCGCTCACACAAGCCAAAAAGTCAGGTAAAAAAAGAGGAATATAATTGTTAGTCTTGATTTATTGATTACTTTTTAAAACAACTTTAATAAGACTCTTTTCAATTAAAAAAGACAAACAGGAAAAATTATTCCTGAACAAAAAAAGTTTTAAGACAACCCAGTCATTAAAAAAAAAAAAAAAAAAAAGAAAACAGGACAAAGGTAAAAATATAATGGCCAGCCACACAACAGACACAAGTATGCGGCCCTAAAAATGCAATAATTACACAAAACAAGACTGTGCACGCCACTGTACCACAGCCAATGCCAGCATCTGCAATATTCAAGCACAATCCCCCAAGCACTGAGTAGTCTAGTTATCACCTACCCCAACCACACAGTATACCACACGCATACCGGACCCCACATGACAGTGCCTACCAAACTCAAACACAATCGTGGACATACACGATGCAAAAATCCCCTCAGCAAAAAGAGAGAGTAATAGATTGACTACGGGTTTATATCCCCCCAACTGGTGTACGACCTGAGTATTAGGGATTATATAACGATTCGCGAACTTACACACTAAGACGTTTACAAAAAAGCCAATCCTTTTACAATCATAAGTAAGTTGGTCCAAAAAAAATAAAAACTAATAAAAAAAAAAAAAAAAAAAATCAGACAAAAGCTGCATGTGAAAGTTGCTTTCCAAACAATAGCTAACAACTATTGAATGTGAACAATAATTAAGAGAAAGACATGATGCAAAAGCACCCATGATATGAGGTCATAACAAGCAATGAACTCTATCAAGACTGGAGGTGGGGTGGACCCAGTTAGACTGGTTGGGATGGCGCAAAAACCAGTAACAAACAGGGTTGTCCGGGTGTATGTGGTGAATGGGTAAGCAGGGAGCAGCAGAAGGGATCCACAAACTAGACGAACAGGGGAGAAGACCTGAACCCAATTAATGTAGGACGAAATCGAGAGGGCGATACAACTCCACTCAGCTTGTGTCAAGAGCTCTATAGGTCACGGCCAGCAACTAGAAAAAAAAACCAAACTGAATCTCAGCGCGTGGTTTAAAATTTAAGATTGGCAATCCACGAGTTTAGAGACGAATTTCCCAACCAAGAACAAGTTCTCGGGTTACACACAAGCGGAAAGAATCCGCACATTGCAGAAACTGTTGATATATACTCACAAGGACACAAAGATTTTTCCTCATAAGTTTACGGGTCAAAGAATTCGAACCACCCCACCATGTGGCCGATAATACGAACCAACCACAACAGATCCACAAAGAGCAGCTCTTAACACCCCATACATATGTGTTCCAAGGAACAGTCCAATACTTAATCGCGCCCTAAATCGAAACTAATACGCACAGCATTCTTTCGGTTAGTATCCTACGCCAGACTTGCGAAGGCAGAGATGGGGGTGCGGCGGAAAGCAACAAACAAGACATTGAATAAACTGTGCCTATTTTTATTTATTTGGCACCACCCCGAAAAGCAGCAAGTGGCAACGACAAGCCAAGCGCGCCCACCACCCCGCCCCCCACCGCCCAAGCGGATCACACAATCCAGCTACAACCAAACAACCCCACACAAAACAATCACACACAATTAACAACACATGCCACCAAATTCTACTAAGCCCGCAAACTTTACCACATCTCAAACAGGCGAAGCCCTTTTCAGGCCAACCAACGCCAACCACACCCCCCCACCACAAAACATACTAAAAAATCTACTAGGACAAGACTTCTGACCCATTAAATATATATATTTATGCAGTGAAAAGTCAGACACCGCCAGGACAACCAATTACCCATGTGTAATGGGAGTGCCAAAATTGGCATTCCATACCGCGATAAAAATACATTATACGCCTAGAGTTGTCATACTCCACACCGACTCACAGAACGAGGTCACCACAATCACCAAGAACAGAGAAACTTTATTAGCCTAGTATGGAATTAAACAAACGGTGAATTGCGTTCCAGGGAATAATGATTGTCAGTTATGCCACGACAAACCGAACATGAAAATACTACTGTTTTGCTAAACCCCACGGGCATACACACATTGGACCAGCAATACCAACAAAAACAAAAACACCCACCACCACCAGACACAGCCGTATCGGCCCCCCCCCAAAAGACCATCTGGAGAAAGGAAAATTACTGCCCTCGTAAACCCCCAGGAGCACATACGACTAGCCACACGGACCCCAACCGGCAGACGCCGTTACGCCACGAATCCCTCACATCCAACTTTATATCGATTCCCTTTCCTCACCCCCTTTATTAGCCTCTCTATTTTCCCCCCCCCTCTGGTAACTATAGGATCATGTGTTGCTTACGAAGGATCTGACTTAAAATTTAATGTCAATTAGCAAAAAGCACTGAACTCATTTGGGATTATTCTTTTTATGAGGAGGGGCGTGTTTGGTATAAAGGTACAAAAGACCAGCACACATTAACGACACCACCCCGCCACCACCTCATCCCAGAACGTGGCTATACCAATACACTATCAAGAACCGCCCGAATTAGAAAAAAAAAGACGAAAGGGGGGCCCACAACATCAAAATACCCACCGCCTCCATGAAACTGTACGCCCCCATCGGTAAGAAACCCGTGCTCCAAAAGTAATGAACCCTGCGTTGACGTGTGAATGTGGCAGAGTTCAGTAAACTACACTATAAAAAAAAAATAATAAAATATAACATTTTTAATAATTAATTATTAAAAAAATTAAATTAAATAAAAAAAAAAAATAAAAAAAAAAAAAAATTATATATATATATTTTATTTTGTATTTTTTATTTTTATATTTTTTTTTTTTATTATTTTTTTTTTTTTTTTTGTAATTTTATTTTTTATATATATTTTATTTTTTTTTTTTTTTTTTTTTTTTTATATTATTTTTTTCATTTTTTTTTTTTATATTGTTATATATTATTATTTATTTTGTATATATTATTTATAATATTTATTATTTATTTAATAATAAATTAATATATTTTATTATTTTTTATATTCTTTTCATAATATTAAAAATATAATAAGCGTAAATAGTTATCTTTTTTATTTTTTTTTTTTATTTTTTTTTTTTTTATTTTATTTATTATTTATTTAATTATAAATTTTTTTTTTTTTTTTAAATATTTATTTTAATTTATTTATATTTTTTTATTTTTTTTTTATATTTTATTATTATATTTTTTTTTTTTTTCCCAGTCTTTGGGAAAACACCCGCGGATGGAAGACGGAATATGAGAGAGGGTCGGTAGATTGAAACGGTCTCTAATCAAAGATTGACACGCAACCGGTTCACAACCGTAATGAAGGGGAAGGGGAAAAAAAAATAAAAGAAAATCCAACAAACTCCAGGCGCGTCGTCGTTATTATGAATAAAACCCACCAGAACTACAAACACAGATAATTTTGGGTTTTTTTTTATTTTTTTATTTTTTTTTTTTTTTTATTTTTATTTTATTTATTTTTGTTTTATTTTATTTTTTTTTTTTCATTTTCTTTTTTTTTTTTTTTTTGCACTAGTAAGGTAATTTTATTGGTTTTTTTTTTCACTTTTTGTTTTTTTGTTTTTTTTTTTTCAATTTTTTATTTCTTCCTTTTATTTTTTTTTTTTTTTTTTTTTTTAATTTTTTGTTTTTTTTTTTTTTTCTTTTCTTTATTTCCTTTTTTTTCTTTTGTTCCTGGCAGAAAAAGAAAATGAATTAAAGAAAGATGGGGCCGAGGGCTAAATAAGGAAGCTAAGGGCAGCCAGTCAGCGACACCAAGAACGCCTTCCCCACCTCCACAACCACCCCCACACCCACTCACAGCTAAGAAAAGAGAGTGTCCCTCGCCAATGACGTGCCGCTAGATGAAGGGTACTCCGCCTACAAAAGTGACGCAAATAAAAGCACAATAGAAGAGGGAAACAAGACATGAACGGGAAAGCCCGACCCGACGTCGGCATTGGCAGAGCTCAGAGGACACAACAACGAACAAAAAGATAGCACGAATACTACCCCCTACCCGACCGCCGCACCCGCCCCCCCCCCCAGATACCGACCACAGAGGCATCAGCGACACCCCACCAAACCCACCCACTACCCCGGAGACAAGACGAGAATTTGCCACCCCATGCCTCGACCCAAAGTTGCGCTCCCGGGACAGATGATGAAGTGCCACGGTACCACCACCGACACAGTGCGCCCGCCCGCCGTCCTACCCCCCGACCCCGTTACACAATAAATGCCCAATCGCCCTCTCCCTCCCATATCCAAAATAAACCATAATAAGCCCCGGAGTTTATTTATATTTTTTCCCCCTGTTTCCTTCCATTTTTTAGTTTTTTTTTTCCCTATTATCACTTTTTTCCCCTCAATCCGATTTTTTTATTTTATTTTCTTCCCCCACCCCCCCCATATTTTATTTGGCGCCCGCCCCTATTATTTTTTTTTTCCCCCAAAAATTAAAGAAAGAACGCATCCCTCCAGATAGCTAAAGTTGGCAAAGGTCGTTGATTTTTTTTTATATTTTTTTTTTTTTTCTTTTTTTTTTTTTTATTTTTTTTTATATTTTTTTTTTTTTTTTTTTTTTTAATTTTTTTTAAATTCTTTTATTTATTTTTATTATTTTTATTTTTTTATTTTTTTTTTATTTTTTTTTATTTTTTTTTTTTTTTTTTTTTTATTTTACTTTTTTTATTTGTTTTTTTTTTTTTTTTTTTTATTTTTTTTTTTTTTAATAAGAAACAAATCAAGGTCTTCTGCACTCTCTTGTATTTTTTCTTAACTTTCCCCTCTCTCCTTATCTTTTGATAAGCTGAAGAGCCGCGGAGAAGGCTGGGCGGGGCAAAACGAGGGGAAAAGCAAGAATAAGAGTACCAAAATGATACATAATTTTTAAATTCTGCAACTACCACACGCACATCAACCTCCACCAAACCCAAATGCATACGCTACCCCTCGGACAAAAAATACAACACTCCGTAAAAAATAATAACCAGAACAAAAAAAAAAAACGTACACACAATATTAAAACAATAGAAAAATGTACATAGTCCACCTAAGCATACATATCTAAACTATCAATAGCACTTATCCCCGCCCTCTCCCTTGGCTGCATGGCACAGCAGTCAACCTACCAACCAATGCAGTAGTTAATTAGGCGGGGGGGGGGGGGGAGATGGCGGAGAGGGCGGGGGGGGGGGGGGCGGGGGTGGGGGGGGGGGGTGGGGGGGGGGGGGTGATTTTCCCAACTTTCATATCCTATTATCCCACGTTGTATTAGTAAACTATATGGTTTAATAAGACAAAAAACCAAGAGATACCCCACAGAGAAGACATGGTGAATGGGAGAGCAAAAAACGCGAGGCGTGCTGAGAAATGAGTACAATGCATCAACAGCAGGATCCGAACGACAGATGACGAGGAAGCCCTCCACCCCCCCTGGCCCACCTCACCCACACCGCCGCCGCTGGTCCTTCCCACGTCCCCCTGCTACCTCCATACCCCCAGGCCACCCCCCCAACCACCCCCACCCCCCCCCATCCCACCCCCCCCACCCCCCCTACCCAGCCCCCCCCCCCCCCCCCCCCCACTATCCACCATCCCCGCCCCACCCCACCCCCCACGCCCCTACAACAACCCACATCCCCCAACACCCAAGCGAATGGCACGCCCCCCTCCACAGCCTCCCCTCACTCCAACACCCCTCCGCCCCCCCCACCCCCCCCCTCAAACCCCATTACCCTCCCCCACCCACACCCATGCCAATTCACCCGCCCTTCAACCACTTCAAGCACCCCCGACCCAACACGCCATAACCATCCACAACCCCCCACCCCCCCCCCCATAAACATCCCGCCCAACACATCACCCCACCTACCAAACCCGCCACACCAAGACCCCACCTACCACGCAATCGACAACCACCGACGTCCCCACCTCCCGAACCACCACCCCCGTACCCCCACCACCCAACATACACCCCCCCCCCCCCCCCCAACCCCACCACCCCCCAACACCACCCAAACCACCCCCACACCCCCACCCCCCCAACCCCCCCCCCACCACCCCCCCACCCCCACAAACACCCCCACCAACAACCACCCCCCACCCCCACCCCACCCACCCACAACCCCACCCACACCCCCCCACCCCCACCCACCCCCCCCACCCCCCCCACCCACAACCCACACCACCCCACAACCACCCACCCCCACCACCACCCCCACACCCCCCCCCCACACCACCCCCCCCCCCCCACCACCCCCCCACCCCCCCCCACCCCCCCCCACCCCCCCACCCCCCCCCCCACCCCCCCCCCCCCCCCACCCCCCACCCCCCCCCCACACCCCCCCCCCACCCCACCCCCCACCCCCACCCCCCCCCCCCCACCACACCCCACCCCCCCCCCACCCCCCCACACCCCACCCCCCCACCCACCACCCCCACCCCCCCCCCCCCCCCGCCACCCACACCCCCCCCCCCCCCCCCCCCCCCCCCACCCCCCCCCCCCCCCCCCCCACCCCCCACCCCCCCCCACCCCCCCCCCCCACCCCCCCCCCCGCCCCCCCCCCCGCCCCCCCCCACCCCCCCCCACCCCCCAACCCCCACCCCCCCACCCCCCCCCACCCCCCGCCCCCCCGACCACCCCACCCCCCCCGCCCCCACCCCCCCCCCACCCCCACCCCCCCACCCCCCCCCCACCCCCCCCCACCCAATAGAGGTTCTTTTGCAACGCGGGCTCAGCGGCCCCGTTCTCGCGTCTAAGAAGACGCCCAAAAAAGTAATTTAAAAATAAATAGTATAAATTAATAACCACCCACCCGGCAACTAACCCCGGGACAATGTACGCACATGCCCCAATGGACCAAAAACAGACCCAGCCAAAAAAAATACATCAGAACATAATGGGAAATGCCCCCCCCCCTCCCCCCCCTTCCCCCCCCCCCCCCCCGCCCCCGCCTCCCCAACAACCCCCACCTACCCCCCCCTCCCCCCGCACAAGCCCGCGTCGACGGCCAACCAACATAAAAAAAAATACCCCCACGCACAAGAAAAAAAATGGTGAATCCATAAAAAAAAAGAACAAGAAAAAAGAAAATAACAAATCCAACCCCCCCTACCCCCCCCCCCCCGAAGGAACTTATATTAATTACCATCCATCCGAACCCTCTAACGCACGCCCTCCACCCCCCCGCCTGCCGACCCCCTCACAATATGTGGTGTGTTTCCTTGTTTAATGCAAAAAAAGAAAAAAAAAAAACCAAAAAAAAAAAAAAAAAAAAATAAGTGAACACGGGCTGGTCCGACCCCCCCCCGACGGCCCCCAACGAACGACCACCCCCCCCGCCAAAAAATCATATACCCGTAACAGACCTCTCGTGCACCCCCCCAACCCTAGCTCCTCCACCCAGGCCGCCCGCCCCCCCACAAACCAGAAGGATGACAGCGACAGCACCCGGGGGACTAGACGACACGGAGTGAGGGCCCCCGCGCACCAACGTGCCCCGCTCCGACGAACCTCCCGTCGCTCCACAAGATTGGGCACTTAAACTAAAGTCATACACATCACAAACAGGAGTAGCGCGGGTGCCCAAGAGGGCGCAATTTCCATCCAATATCCACCACAGTAAATGCCCCCAACCAATTCCTAATATATATATATCTTAAAACGATTCTTATTACCTCGTAATCAAACAAAAAAAAAATAACGAACCAAAAATCCAAATTAAAAAAGAAAGGAAAAACCAAAGAATGAAATATGCAACAGGTGAACAATGAAACAACAAGCAAAACACAAAAAAAAACCCCATCAACAATAGAACAAAAGAAAAACTAAAAAGACATACAACAAAGAACACAAAAACAGCAACGACGAATACAGCGCAAACCAACAAAACCCCAGTAGAAATATAAACAAGCCTAAATAGCACCCTAGTCGGTTTTTTATTCCGGACAAGAGAAGAATGGGATATCGCGATAGACCAATGCGGAGTAACCCTCGAGGCATCCCCCCCCACAAAAAAACAGCAAAAAAACAAATAAAAACAAAAAAACAAAAAAAAACCCGTCCCAAAAAACCCCCAAATGGCCATTCGGGCCCCCCCCATGCACCCCATTTCGCCCTACCGGCCCGGCGTCTGGGCGGACAAGTCCCTCCCTATACACCGGGGGCCCCCCACCCCCCCCCCGCCGGCCCCCGACACAATGCAAAAAACAACAAACAAAAACAGCGGCTAAAATATATTGAATACTGCACGGAGGCTTGTATTCTTCAAGTAGTAGCCGCCGCTCCGCCGCGGGACGCCACAACCAAGACGGCAACCCCCCCTACCCCCGCGACAACCACCCACCCAATACGCCTCCACACCCCAGACCCGACCCGAGCGTTCACCACTAGCCCCCACCCCCCCGCAGCGCCTCTCTCCCGTCTCCCCCCTCCGCAGTAACCCGCAGAGAGGCCCCTCAAACACTATCCACGCAGGGTGCCCGGCCCCACCCGCCGCCAGTGACCGCGCTGTGGGCGCACCTACCCACCGACCTTTCGCCATACTCCCCCCAGAAACCCCACGGACCCGCTAAAAGCAACCCCTTCCACCTGGCGTGGCCCCAGATCAAGACGAGCGATAGAAACGCGTCTTCCAGAGTAACGCCTGACCCTCCGCAAAAGCCCCCTAGACGCCCGCACCTAGAACACTGGCAAGACGCACCCCACACCGCAGAGGACCCACTAGCCACGATAAACTGCTTGTCCCAGAATAACCCCCACCCCCCCCCCACCCCCCACCCCCCCCCCCCCCTATAAAATAACTTCCTATTTATAAAATATAAAAAAGTTAGATTTAATTAATCCTATCCCCTTTCTTATTCCTAATTCCCAATACCAATTCCCTTATGTTTCCCCCCCCCGCCTTTCCCCCTTTCCTCTTTTCCCCATCCCCCTTGATTTTTTACTCTTTCCCGTTTTTTTTTTCTTTTTCCCCCCTCATTCTTATTCTTCTTCCTCCTCCCCCTTCCTTTGTTATTTCCTCCCCACCCGCCCCCCCTCCTTCCCCTTGTTTTTTTTTTTTTTTTTACTTTTTTTTAGTTTTTTTTGAGTTTTTTTTCCCTTTTTTTTTTATTTTTTTTCCCCTTTTTATTTTTTTTTCTCTTCCTTTTTCCTGTTTTTTTTTTTCTTTTATTTTTCCTTCCCCCCCGCTACATTTCATTACCAAAAAATACGATATACTAATATTTTCCCCCCCCCCCCAACCACCCCACCCCCACCATGAGTTGCGTTAATTCCCGCAGTGAACCATGTCATCCATCCACCTAAAAAAAAACTCAAGCGTGGCTCACCTACACGCATTGAAAAGGTGATCAAATTGCACTCTATAGCTTTAAAGAATTAATTAACGACTGCCAAC